TTTTTGAAAAATATAACGACTTTTTTTGTCGGAATGTTAGCACTGAAAATTATTCTGCACCCTCTCTGCTCTTGAAATCAGGTGTAGCTAAGAGCTACACCTCTTGAAATCCTGTAGCTAAGATTGTGCAAAGGGGATTTATCAGGATTCATCTGCTTCAAAATTAATAATTTTATCAATGCAATCTGATGAAGTAACGAAATGTGTTCGTGTCCTATGAATAAATTTATGCACGAGAAAATATTTCCATGTATAGTTATCTCTTTTTTTTCATACTGACAAGTTATAAGAATTTTGTTCTATATATACAATATTACCCGCTAGGCCTTTCGTAGCTCAAATTACTTTAATACCAAAAACTCATGAACTTATTGTTCATATTTCCCTTGTGTTCATATCTCGTGGATGCGCACCACCATGACGTCAACAGTGTAACTGCCTTAATTAACTACGGATAGAGTTTACTCACTTTGGCTTGAGAAAACACACAGATGGGGGAAAGAAAGTTAGTTGAATCGCTGCGTTGCCCGTATTTTCGATGCTCGTCAACAGAGTTAAAAACAAAAGTCAATCCGGCATTTATTATACTATTGCTACTGGTTCATTTGTGACATGATTGCATTAAGTTTTGTTTTTCAGTAAAAACTGTTTTCCCCATTTTTCGTGTTAAACACCCTTTCCATTACACTTTATCACGTCTTACACGTTTTTCTTTCCGATCTTTGCTTTGTGCCATATTTATTCTGCTCTTCTTCCCGTATCTTTCTTCATATTATACTCTCAATTTTCTTACCACATTCCCATTTTCCCCTCAAATCACGCTCAGTTCTCCCTCATCCGAGGGCACGGCAATTCCTTGGTGTGCATGCAGCGCCGAACTCGGTGACGTTTCCCAAAAACACCTCACAGCGGAGGCCAGTATAACCTGCCGATTGATGGGCCATCAGGCGCACTCCGTTCTGTTTTTAAACAGAAAATTTATTTGTGCGCATAAATCTTCCCACATTTCAGTTATAATAATTGTTCGATCTAGTTTTGATGAACTTGCCGAGGAACAATCTAGGATCTTTATTTGAAAGAGGTTGCTTCTAAAGAAACCAATCAATCTTTCACATGGAAATCTATGCCGGAGACCGTGGTGACATTGTGACACTGATAAAAGCGACAAATTTTTCAAAATCTATTTTATACCACATATCTTTAGGAAATTCACTCTTAAGAAACGCTTCTATGCAAGGGCATGCATAATAAGGTAAGAAATAATGGAAGCTATAATGATATAGCAGTTGCTGATGTAAATTTAGGCGAGAGCAATCTAGATGAGCGAAATCGTCCAAATTTTTTCATAAATTTTTTTTTTAATTATCTGTAGCATTATATTTCACTAACAATTTCCCCAAATTTCTATCTCAACTGCAGCGCGAAGTGTTTTTCATAAAGTGCGAGACTTGTGAAGATTTATTTACTTACGTCAATGCAACACTCCTGCTTTCTCCGTCCTTTACTTTACAATTGTAAAAGCTTAAAGTTTTCCTGCGACACCTTCAGATAAAATACGGCTTCATGTTAGTCGCGCTGGCCTGAAAGTAAACCCAATGCTCTGCATTTTGAAAAACAGGCTCATTATTGCGGAAAAGGAAGGAATTTCTTCACTGGAAGCCTTGGCACGGATCGGGATTGTCCGTGCTCGTTTCTGGGTCGGATTTCCTGGCAGGCTCTCATGAGCTGCGGTGAACTCAAATGTCGAGGCTGGTTTTCTGACGTCATTGAGACGTGGACATTAGTTTTACTGTTGAAATTGGGTGTTTGTGGAAATTATCGTACCTTACGTGACTGATGTTAGGTATATCAACTTGGCTCACAGTATGAAAAGAATCGCATCGCATGACCTATTTCAGAAGTAACATAAAATTTATAAGTGACGAAAATTAAGCAAAGACTCACCCTATCTATCCCCACCGTCAGTTCGACAATACATGAATGAAAGTACATTTGATTAGCGAACCATAATTCGTATTGCAGATTTTAATACCTAAATTGCCAAAACAAATTCAAATCAACCAAAAAATAAGCGTAACCAACATGCCCATCTATTTACAATTTTATGACGACAAAAACTGAACGCGGGATTTGAACTGAAACGTATAAAGATTTGAACGTATAAAGATTCTAAGAACATTAATTTCACGCGATTATCAAAATTTTCGAAATAATGGCAGCGTATATTGATTTTACAGTACTTTGAGGTTAAAGAGTGATTTCATAATTAGTGACGTTTCTAAATGGTTAATTATTTCACATACATGAATGTCTGAATTCAATAATTCCGAATAAATTTTAATATGCATGGTCGTTTCATCGAATTTTCAATCAACTTAAGTACACTGAAAATAATCAGAAAATGTATATTATATATTTAAATTCCTCATTATTCTGACTATTCTGATTAAATGCAGTAATGATCCTTATTAAGTCGTTCATAAAACTTACGAGGTGCGAGAGCTCCTTGGGACTTGCAAAGGCTGTCATAATTCAAGAATTGGGTACAAATGCGTAAATGATAACTCAGCCTCCTTGTTTGCTGTATTGGTTTTAATTATTGTCCATTCTGCTCGATGTCCCGTTGCCTCCCTATCTCGATGTCCCGTTGCCTCCCTATCTCGATGTCCCGTTGCCTCCCTATCTCGATGTCCCGTTGCCTCCCTATCTTGATGTCCCGTTGCCTCCCTATCTCGATATCCCGTTGCCTCCCTATCTCGATGTCCCGTTGCCTCCCTATCTCGATGTCCCGTTGCCTTCTGCTCGATGTCCCGTTGTCTCCGATCTCGAGTGCTTGGATAAGGTTTTAGCAGAGCAAACAATCATAATATAATAAAGTTAATTGACCCCTCGCTAATTTCTTGCATTACCGCCTATATTGTATTGTGTTATCAATGGAAAGATCTCATAATGATGCTGCGTCTGCTGGACCGATGATCTTAGCGCGCTAATGTTATAAGAACGTTGACCGTGCAGGTCAAGAGACGCAATTGCATGGTTATTTGGATTCAATTTATTCCTATTTGAAATTAGTGAGAAAAGTTGTGGTTGAAAATGAAATAAATTTTTAAAATAGATTTGTATAACATTCAGCGGTAATAAACTTTTTACAATTTTACGTTTGTCAATAAAGTGAAGTGTCTTCACTTTTTGTACAATTTGTAATCCATCGTAATTATCGTTTGTTAGAGATTGTTTAAAGTTTGCACAGCTTTTGCTACTTCCAAAAACTTGAAATCGTGTAAGTAATAACAGGTCAATGAAACAAGACCGATTGTCTGCTGTTTTATATGAACCATTAATCATAAGGCAGGTCGGTAAATTGAACAACATTCGTTCACAACAACGAAACTTTTTGTTCCCACAATCACCGGTTTGAGAGTTGGTCGGGACGCACACGTAGCAAATGTCCACAAGAATTTACCCAGCAACATTTCCGGGGATATTGCGGTACTCGCTACCTTAAGAAGGCGCCAAAATTTGTAAAATCCTGTGCAACTTAATTTATTCTTCGTCCAAATGCATTTAAATATTACGTTTTACTTTTCCTTCCGACATTATTCACGTTTACGTTGGATTATAATGTTATGAATTCAGTTTCTTCTAAGAGTCTACATACATCAAAATTTGGGAGAACATGTTACCCGTATTGCTTCACTTCACAATTTGGTAGCAACATGTCCCCGTACACTGCAAAGCTTCAGACGTCGCTGCGACAGCTGGCCTAGACATCAAAGTTACGGCACAGCTCAGCGTCGCTCATGTATCTGTTTTGAATAAGAAGCCTGTCAGAACAAGACATTTTGTCATCCCAGCGTCAGCTGTTCTTGGGGGAATATTTATCTTTTCGCTCAGATTCTGATGCCATCCGGCAAAATGCACAAGAATCTTAAATCTCGAGTCGTCCGATTCCGGGAACGTGTGGCTCGATATTTTTTTAACGACAATAATATCTGACGAGACATTGTTTACAATGCTAGGCAGGTCTTCATTCAGTGAAGTATATTGAATTTTTTACAAATAATATTTTCTCTTCTTTTGAATGTTAGAAGTTTTGTCTATTTTCATTAAATTAATGACAATAAGCATGTCGAGCAGACTTCCCAATAAGTTTTAAAACTTCCCCGACTGAGGTTTTTTATTGTTTTTCACAGGAAGTTACCAATTATTTACTATTACTGTATATAAAAAATATAGCCTGTGAAATTTCCAACTGAAATGCTAGGCATTTTAGTCAGAGTTGTCGTTTAGGAGCAGAAAATATATCCCTAATATTTTCTTCTTCCATAAAAGTTATGAGAATTCATAAAAAATTTTAAATTTAATCATAGACACTTGATTTGTCTTAAGACAATAGATAAGATTAATCTCCTTTGACGCTCAGGCTACACAATGGGATATTGTTCAAAAATTAACACACGGTCGACGAATAAAATTTTAGCTATTATACAGTCTATCTTTCATCTCCCCACGTAATTTATACATGCAACATTATGCACGATTTCCAGAGACTTGTTATTTCGCGCAGAACAACAAAATACACGAGTGAAAAAGATAACAGGCATTACGTAGGAAACATTAACACACAACATTCGTCACAAACATAGAGGACAGATCGGCATTAGTATTAGGCATTTCGTAGAGCCTATAAGAGACCACGAAAAGATCCTAAATTATTGTCTAACCTGTGCAGTTATTTGGCGGTTTGTCATTTTCTCACAGTTTATAGTCTTTGTAAAAACTCTTAACAGCCCTTCAGGATTCAATCTTTTAGTAATAATAATTTCTTTTCATTTTCAAATTGCGACTATTGAGAAATTACATAATAGAAGCACGTGGCCCAATCCGCCTAATTATACTCTAAGCTTAAGAACTAATTCACTAGGATCACAGTTTCACAAAATTCAGCTGAATCATAGCTGTTTTGTAATCATTGTTGCTGTTGTAATCATAGCTAATTTGTAAAAAAATTATGATAATAATACAACGACACTCATAAGATGATGAATATGCTCGGGAATATGAATATTTTCTTTTCGCAATGATGTGGCAGTAATTTCGGCACGTTCTTGATATTTATATTAACTAAAAGGAATAGAAATCACCCCCAAATACTCAACACAAGCCAGCATAAAATATTCAAATTTACCAATAATTCATACACTAAAATTCAATCCCGTTGTACTTTCATCGCTGTTCCATATTGACACCAGTTTAGACAGACAACAATTAAATTCGATCAAGCAATTTCAACATTTCATATAAATTTTCCGTCCCTAATTAACACATACAACGGTCACTTTTTTCTACTCTTCTACAACGATTGCCACTACACATTCCACTTTATCTTCATAAAATAATCACTTCATGTCTCCTAGTGTAAGGCCGAGTGTTAACTGAGGCTGGAGTGAGGGCAATAGAAACATCAGCACTCCCCCAGACTGAGGCCAGGCGCTAACTGAGGCTGGAGTGAGGGCAAAAGAAACATCAGCACTCCCCCAGCGTGAGGCCAGGTGTTAACTGAGGCTGGAGTGAAGGCAGTAGAAACATCAGCCTCTCCTGAGGGCGGCGCTGCCTCAGAGGGCCGCTGACAGCAGCAGAGCGGCCAGCAGCGCTGAGGTTCCCAACACCGCCACTGCGCTCCCTGCCAACAGAACAAGGGGAAACTGAGAGCTATTTTTTTACCTATCATTTACTTACCCAGGGAAAAAACTCCAAATGTGAGAAAGTACGCAGCTACTTAGCAAGCGCGTTATAGGCGCGCTCGCTAAGGACTTGTGCTCCATGCGCCGCTCCCTCACCTGCGTTAGGCGCGCTCGCTAAGGACTTGTGCTCCATGCGCCGCTCCCTCACCTGCGCTTGGCGCGCTCGCTAAGGACTTGTGCTCCATGCGCCGCTCCCTCACCTGCGTTAGGCGCGCTCGCTAAGGACTTGTGCTCCATGCGCACGCGGATCGTCTTGGACGCGCGCTCCTCGAACTCGCCCAGCGACAGGCGACACTCGACCAGGACGCTGCCACCCGCGTCCACCACCTGCACGCGCGGTAGGGACATTTTTGTTTGTTATTGAATTTTCGAAATATTAGGATTTTTTACCGTGAATACATTTTTTTAAACGAGCAGCTGCCGGATTTAGTTCTAAATGATTACAACGATGAGTAAACATTTGGGAGATGAAGGAATGCCATTCAATAAGAGAATGAAGTCAATACATTCTTGAATGCCGGTACATTCATGAAAAATGTGTCAATACAATCCGATGCATTCTAGGCGACCAATTGCACGCTGGCTCTCGTCACTACTTTTTAGTAATAAATATTAATCGAGTTATAGATATGTCGCATTATCACAGGTGCCATTATCTTCGTGTATTATTTCACACGTTGAATACCTGTTGTCCGGGTATATTCAATGAGACGCCAGTGTAGCTGCCGTCTAGTGATCGTCCGTATTTTTCTTGTTGTGCTGGAGGAGCCTATGTTAGAGAAATTAATATACACACTTTTAAAATGCATGCCTTATATTCATTCCTGGACTTAAAGACTAACAGTCACCACCAAAAATGCAAGTTCTGTGCGGATAACACTACAAAAAATTTCTACGTTGAATAAATGATAATTTGTTACACACGCCAATAAGTAGCAGATGAGTTATTGATCCGCAGAAACTAGAATAGTATGCGTTAACCAGACACCTCAATAAAGCCATCATATAGAGTTGTGATCAGGTGCATTATGATTTGAAATGCATTCCTAAGTATATAAGGACCTCAGTAATTTAGGCGCTTGACCATTTCGCGTTTTTTTCGGATCATTTTGTGATTTTTTTACAGTCAATCCAGTTGTTATTAGTTCAATGGACTTACCTCAAGACTTATCTATTCTCAATAAGAATGAAACAATTCTTTTTTAAAATTGTGTACACTGCATTGATGATATTTTTTAGAATAATATAAGAGTAACAGCTAGCCATTGCGACATAACAACGATCCTCATTTGTCCTCTAATAGTGCTGCAGGTTTAACCTCTAAAAATTCAACACTCAAGTCTCTTCCTGCCTACACAGGGCTAATAAACTTAAGTTCTTTGTAAGTACCTCAATGCTTCCATGGAGAACTCACCTGTTTACCGTCTATTAACCAAAGTATTTTGGGCATAGGCTCGTCTTTCTCCATTTTTTGCGGCTGACAGCCGACGGTGATCTGATCGGAAGGCTCGTATATTTCGCGCACCCTTTTGATGAGCGGCGGACTGAGGCTGTGGCCTGCACACACACCAAGGGAACTCTGTGATACTTTCCTTGGTTTTCCACGTCAGCTATAACAAATCCACAGGAGACAGATCATGGACTGCTAATTAGAACTTAATAAGCACTTTATTAAACTAAAGGTAATCAGTTTGTACAAATAACAGATAGATCAAAGGGAAGCATCTAAAAAGGATGATGGCTCAGAGTAAATCCCCTAATACAATAAATAATTAATTCCTGGTAAGAACCGGTCCGCAATACAGTTGACCGTAATGTCGAGATACCCGTTACTTTGTCGCAACAATAAATTTCTTAAAAACTCATCATGTCTACTTCGCACACCTTTTTGATGAGAGGCGGGCTAAGGCTATGGCCTGAACTCATTTTGCATGCATATTTGCACAATTTTCCATAGTGTAGAAGCGAGGCAGTCGCAAATCAGAGAACCCCTACCATCAAGACTGTGGCGCGGGTGTCCGGTCTAGCAGTTCTGTGTTTATGTGCAGCGCTGCTCATTATGGCAAGTCTTGTCGCTTAAGCTCGTACTCGTGATAATTAGAAGCTTTTGTTCAAGGTGATGAGTGGTGAGCAGCTGCTGTGCCATCTTGAGTCCTATCAAAGCCGAGCGTTGTGACTGCGCCCGTAAATATCGCCCGAGTCGCACGCCTATGAATGCCATAGCACTGTTTAGAAAACGCGGTCCGGGCTCTCTTCATTTAATTTAATGTTAAATAATGTCTCGCGTGTGTGTATGGTGAGAGACAGGTTTACGTTCATGCAAAGTAACGTATATTCGGCTCATGTTCGACGACGATGGCAGACAAGATATTCAAATAATTTGAAACCGTATCTTAACGCATGCCTTGGTTCTATTGGTCCTTGGTTTTAATATATTTTTTAGCGGCCTCCAAATTTTCACATTCCGCGAAAAATTCAAAAGTCGAGAAAAGCTAGATTAGTCTCTCAAGTTCAACAACCCCATGTTCACTAACAATAACTCCAAATAAAATAAAGCGTTATAAATGCTAAGATAAAAGAAATTCAATTTCGTCCCTTGTGCATAGCTTCATCATCATAGATTTTTCTGAGTTCCATTCTCGGCCGCCAAAAGAATCATTTGTCTGCGCGCGTCCAAACAAACCTCAGATCGCAGGACGAGGCTCTAGACGTAGATCAAGTGCCTGATTCTATCAGCCGGGCAGCGGCTTCATCAATTGTTGTGAATAATGCAAGCCAAGCAGTCGAAAATGAGCGGACGTACTCACTAAGGACGGTCATGTGGGAATGCAGGGACTCACTGAGGACAGTCATGTAGGACTGCATGGACTCACTGAGGACGGTCATGTAGGACTGCAGGGACTCACTGAGGACGGTCATGTAGGACTGCATGGACTCACTGAGGACGGTCATGTAGGACTGCAGGGACTCACTGAGGACGGTCATGTAGGACTGCATGGACTCACTGAGGACGGTCATGTAGGACTGCATGGACTCCGTCCTGAAGGAAGGATGCTCAGCCAGCACCTCGCACCTGTAGGCGCCTGTCGCCGCTGCCGTCACGCGGCTCAGCGACAGCGTCACGTGGCGATCGTCACGCGACACCTCCTGTCACGACGGGGCGGAATATCAGGTGATATGTACAATTATCATTAAACTTTCTATTCTATAGTCTATATAGTAGTATTAGTATATTAGCTATATGACAGTTTTTGCTGTTTTTATCGAATTAAAAGTCATAACAAATGACAAGAAAAAATTGCAGAGAAGCCGTCATCAAAATTGGTGACAGTATCGGAGTTTTAGTTTTCTACATTCGAATGTTAGAATTGCTCAAGATAAAATATATAGCTAAAAATCAATTCTGGATGTCAAAATGAACCTATAATTTGCTTCTTTATTGACAGAAATATCAACAACCTCAGGAGAAATAAAAAAAAAACTTTGTTATCGAAAAAATAGCTTTATGGAGTGTGAACTGCCGTGTTAGATACTTCTGTTGGTTAGCAATATATTTGAAAACTTCTTTCTTCTATAATTATAATTCAAGTGCCGTAACTATCTACTCACGTGTAGCGTGAATATATTAGTTGGTCCTATATTGACGGGCCCATTCCTCTCTGTAGGCACGTATCTGTAGAACTCGGTGTTGTTGTGATACCATTTGAGGGAGTAAAGTTTACTGCTGCCCATGTCGTAGACGCAGCGCAGGGTTACCGTCCCTGACACGAACGTGAACTGTGGCACCTCCAGAGACTTTAGCAAACTGCCCGCGCTGCCTGCAACGTAAGCAACATTCACGGACTTCAGACAAACTCGGAAACTCAAACGCAGTCTGTATTCTAAACTTCTCAAGTGTATTCGTCTGGTCAATTATATGTCACACTTCATTGTAGTCATTGCATTAATAAAATTTTAATAATTTTAATGCAGAATGTGTTACAGGCATATTAGATAATTGAATGGTTAACATTTCCGCTAATGCATAGCCGACACTCATCTCGAGAAGCACACATTACCATTCTAAACAATTTACGTTTTGCTAAAAGTTGTCTGATCAACATTTTGATCAACGCCCTCATTCGTTTCCAGATTCCCTAAAATGAATGGAACATTCAGCATAATCCAGTCACTTGGTCGGCACAGGCTAACTTAATTTCCTAAGGCAGACAAATGACTCACAAGCAGTGATATGAATTAAAAGGTGTCCGGCCTGCAGGACAAAATATTAGGGCGGAGTAGCACTGAGAACGAGAAAGTTCTTTCAGAGGTTCGCATTGCGCAGGTTCCTCATTTAGTCTAGTTGGTTGAAGTGCTATCGTGAACGGTGCTGGCAAATTAGACCAGGACACTCACGGCTCACCTGCCGGCGTTCATTTCTTCTTTAGCCCCAGTAATTCGCCTAAAATAAACTTCTTTTTACCCCATTCAGAGGACTCTCTTAATTACCAGGGCAGAGAAAAAGACTTGAGAAAAGAATCCGGAGACACTGCGCTCATCGTTCGCTCTCTTCTGATTAATCGGAGAAATGTTAAAGAAAAAAGAAAGCCATGAACATTTTTGGCTGCTCCTATACATTTTATAATGAAACCAGCGAGCGATACATCGACCGATCGGAGTTCTCTGTGATGTTAAAACGAACTGATTGAACAAAAAACATTATTTGAGGTCCAGCAGATTGGTTGATCACTGAAAAGAGAAATCAGTAAACGTCTTATGGACGTTCCAAGAAAAAGCGGTGATAAAAAGGTGTCTCCAACATCGTCGTTGATTGCCTCATTCTACATTGCACGTACAGTCGTGGTCCTTTGGTAAAGTTTGGTCAGTTACGACGGCTTGAAATTCCAACTGAAGCAGTTTTGGAGCAAAATTCCTGTCAATTAAAATGGTTTCGTAATTTTTTAGAATTTGCTTGCAATTGTAGCAAAGAGAGTGGGTAGATCTTTTCAGGCTTTATCTTCATTTCTTGTCGAATGCATATGCATTACTAATTAATTACCCAATTTTCTAAAGACTAATTAAGAAGCAAGTAGATTGGTTCCTAGTCTGCAATTTATTCAACCTAAAATAAAATATGTCGATTATTAAACCTAAAATTATTGTCCTCGCTTCGGTTTTTAGTAAGTCAATATATACCTATATACATCCACGCCGCACCGTCATGGCAAAAATTCGTGCTCTAAAACCATCTCATATTTTGATATTTTGTTAACAAACATTTACCTGACAATATTCGACGCTTGGAGCACCGTAGGCTCCACTAAGCCTCTTTCATTACAGCTGCCTATAACTCCTCACAAGCTTATCCAGATCAAGATAATAAATAAGACAATAAATGCCAATGAGCTTCTGTTTGCATGCATGTCAACTGGAGAAAAACGCATTGACTAACATCGTTCACGCATAGCGCTGCCCGCATGCGTGATTGACCTTCTAGACGAAAATTGCATTTCCGCTCAAGATTCCGACATAATAAAATAATTTAGAAGAGGGCGATGTGCAACATGAATATCTTTTGCACGTCAGGATATTTCTGAAATACTAAGTTATTTTCTATTATATCGATTATACGTTGATTGTTATCAATATATTCTTCTGTCAATTAATTGGCTTACCGGACGTTCACAAATATCTGTAGTAATTGACGGCTCTGTTTATAGAAGTATTTATTTCATCGGCCCCGAGAACATTTTAGGCACCGACAATTAATTTGGCTGTTATATAAAAGTCAAACCAAGTGCAATCACTTTTACACCTGCTGCAGCAGTTTTTTTATGGTGGGGCTCGTTACCCTCACTTGCCATGACTTACCTTAATTAACTTTTTTTGACTTTTCCTCATTTACCGTGACTTTCCCTCATTTGCCCTCAATATTCCTCTTTGATTGTACGCTCATTTGAGACCAGGCTACGCTGCACTCGTCTGTTCGTGCCACTCTACATGCGGAGAGGATTCAGCTTTAGGGAGAAAAATAATAATAATAATTATAATAATAATAATAATAATAATAGCGCTTTCAGCGTTTTTTAGGCCATATAGTCCTGTCGCCGATTCTTAACATCGCAAAACATCCGCAGCTTGTTGCGGTCTCGAACTCACAACTCACTGATTCAAATTCTACTGTGCTGTAACCGCCCGGCCTCCTTGCCGATTCTGACCAGAAACTGGCGCACAGAGCTGGGATCGAACCCGCGCCTTGCTGCGCCAATCTTGGTACTCCTAACTTTAACCAATGACAATAAGAAATTATTCAGAGCTTGGCAATGCAAAACTCGCAGTGAAGAAAACGTGTAATTTTTCATAAGCCTATAATTAACCTGTTTTACGGCATGCGCTTGAATTTCATTTCTTCACGGCATTTTAAATATTTTATATAAAGTTTTATAGTTTGTGGTTACTAACGTTTATTAAATGCCAACTACAAAATTCAGTTAAATGAATTTTCCTCAAAATGGATGAAGTCTCGGATCTTTAGATCTCGGTGCAGGAACGTTATATGAGAGCCGCTGCCGAGATAGATTACCTACTGATCTATGGCTTCCTTAATTAGAAGTGTAAGCTCATAAGAAGCGGGAGTACACTGTCAATAGGGTTTCCCCAGTTTTATGTTAGGCACGAATCGCATCAACGACGCACAATGGACGAAGTTTTAAAATGATATGAGATAATTCTAACCATATTTCCTGCAGTATTTAATTCGTCTCTCATGCCAGAACTTTAATTGATATGATTCACTGGCAGACGCCCATCACTCTGCTCATCATCCACTCCATTATCCAGCTTAACATGCGGATATGTTTCACTGTAAGACCACCATCAATCGGAGAGAATACGTCGATTTACTTTAATTCAAGGGTTCCGGCTAGCAAGCATTTGAATGATCATTAGGACCGCAGTCTGAGCAAGATTATCAGCACTCAGTTAAATTAAAATGACTATTTCGTTGCATTTGTAGTAGAAAACAGTTTCCGATCTTCCTGAAACGCTGAGCGTTTGTACTAGGATTGTTTTTAGCGCATTTTCTCTTTATGGAAAAAATGCACTATTGTGCTCGCCATGTCTGTCTGTCCGTCCGTCCGTCCGTGACTTCACGTTTTCGTCGATTTTAAGAAGCGGGCATGCCTGTATCAATTAAGATACGACATCTTTAGCTCTAATGCACTGTACTAATCGCAATGAAAACTGATTTATGCATGAGAAAATGCGCTCTCTGTCACTCACTGCCGTGAGTACTGAGTTAATTTTTTTTCATTACCCACATGCGCAGCCAGCATCCTTTCAGCTGCTGCTCGTCGTGGCTCTGAAAGCTGTGCCAAGAGTTCCGTAATCCGCAGTAGCCAGGATACCGGCGAGGACTTGGTCTATTGCTCATACTTTATTGGTCGGGCCGCAGGAATATTTATGGCTTAGGACCACCAAATCAGTCCTGCATTTCCACTGTCACGTCTGCAGAACCACGGGGGCCTCTTAGAATTTCCGATCTCGAGTGCCTTTTTGCTTCTCGTATTAATATTTAACAAAAGAATTTGCTAAAAGTTTGATAAATCATGCATAGAATAATTTGAATATCAGCACGGAATAAGAAAAAAGAAAAACGAGTTAAAAACATTTAAATGTCATCTAATACTAAGTCTGCGCATTATTAAACTGCATTAATCTGGATTGATATATAGTTGCTATATTATTCATTTAAAAAAGGCAAGAAATGAGTTTGGAGAAACGCAATTCACTTACCTGAAAGTAATTAGTTTTATACTAAATATTGAGTCTCCACACATCCAGTAGGTATAGAAACTTAGTTCAATAGGATCTTTAAATCTTTTTCCAATGTAGTTTTTCCACGGATTGAGTTGAATTCATCCATCATCCTCAAGATAATTTTGCAAATGAATTTACCATATACAAAGGATATTCTAAATCTCTCGCAGACATTAATTTTTCTTCCATTTACAACTATGTGGTCTGCTGGGCAATTTTCAATCAGGCATCGCGTTGCAATTTAGCGGGAAGCCACAATCCAGCGCCAAATTAAGACCAAGCTTTTAAATCGCTTAGTAAATACTGCACCGTGGCCCATTGGATTCAAGGCACAGAGAAGCACCTACAAGTATAATTTAATCTCGACTGCTGCGAAACTTATTTTCTGAGGAATTTAGACGACACACGGAATGAGTCTGTCCGAGTAACGCCGTTCTTCCGAGGATCGCCGTGTTGTCATGGCCTTTCTTCTCTTTAGTGCGACATCGGCCTCGCTTCAAATGACCATCTTAAAGAGTGGCTTAATTATTAGTCTGCTATTTTGAGTGGTATTCTCTCTCAATAACAGTGCTTATAGGGTTACTAGAAATTTGTATCAGTTAGTTATAGTTATTGTGATAACTGCGTCGTTGCCAATTCTAAGAGTATTCAGAACGGCTCATATCGCTAAGTAGCTGACGTGCTGAGTAGAAGCTTCATGAGGAGCTTGAAATACATATTGCTTTAAATATTTGAGAATATGTCTCAAACATTTCAAGATTGTATTCGAGATTCGCCTAAAGAACATCAAGATCATATAGGTTTATATGACGCTAAGTTCTTAATTGAGTTAGCTGAATCTTTTTTTATCAACTGTCCTTCCTACTGTATTGTTGCTCAATTCACATGTCAGTTAACTGTTAACGGAGCACTCATTCCATAAACATGTATCGTCATAACAAAAGATGAAAAATCCCAAAAATATTGAAGACAAGAAACAGTCAATTTATCTAAGTTGCAATCAATATCTACCCTGATTTAA